GGGGGAGGGGGGAAGGTGTGGGGCACTCATAAGGGAAATTGTCTTCCCTGACAGGTTTTAAAGCTGAACTCCTGATAGGAACAAAGCAACACCACTCAAAGTAGTATCAAGCATTTTTCAGTAATGAACCCAGATCAAGCAAATATACATTGCGCAGCATAGTATATCTTTAAATTTTTGTACAGTCCTCATGTCCTCAAGCTCTAGCTCTCTCAGCTATGCTTCCCGGAATTTCTTGTCCAGTACAAGGGACAGAGCAGTCTACAGCAATGGTCCCATCTACTAGCTTACAAAAGGCAGAAAGGAGTAGCAGAGAGCAGAAGAGTGGATTGCCTTGCTGTGTCGGTGTGTTTGTGGAGACACACACAGCTTACTAGCACACACAAGGGTGGCACCATGCAAAAGAAAGGAGTCACCCTACAACAGGATATCAGGGCCAGAGCACAGGGAACCAGCTGATTCTGCAGGAAACTGAAAAACTTTTAAATGTTAAGGAGCAGCATCCATTTTAAGTATTTTTTTTCAGCATTTGGAATAGCCTAAACACATTTTGACTTTAATATCTCTTTAATGCAGTTATATATTATTTTAAAAAGTGATCAGGTTTAAATGCAGCTAGTGTAAGTACCTGAATTTGACCTACATCAGCCACTTCTCATTCCTTGCACAACTGCACTCAGACTGGAAGTGTGGGGGGGGACATAATTTTATCCCAATCAGGTGTGCTGCAGTACAAATATGCTGACAAGGGACTTCATGCTGAGAAAAAGAGAGAAGGAAGATACCCTCACCAGTCTTTTGCTCTCCTTCAATGTCTAATCACAGGCTGGAGGGCGGAGAGGTGACCAGCCTGTATTGCCTAACCGCTGTAGAGAAAAGATAGGTCACCAGCCTTACTGTGCAACCTGGCAGGACTGTATAAATATTAGGACTGGCTGGACAAAAATACAAATCCTTTGGCAGGTAAAATAGCTCCCTTATATGTATCCCCGCTTGGAGTTCAGCTTCAAAAAACAACAAGGAAGACAACTGGAGCCCAATAGTGAGCGCTCAATCCCTAAACAAGCTGTTTTGACTGTTGATCACGAGGCGTATAATCTCGCTGAAAAGCGATCTCTATTTTCTCTCCGTCTCAGCAGGCTCATCTGCATATCCAGATATGACTATACAACAGACTCGGCAACACATGCTATTAACAAACAGATAACGGGTGTTGTGTTGGCTATGCATCTCATCTGGTGCCAATCACACAGCCGGTATAGAGTCGGCGCCCCTGTACACAATGAGCAGATTACATACCATGCTGTGTTCATTTTATGGATCTTAATCAGCCTGTATGACAATTACATGCTCCATACACTGCTATACCTTAATGGTATTGTATTGCATCTTCCCTATGCCATCAACTTCAAAACACAATTCTCATATATACCATAGAGAAGTACAAAGTCCGGTCAAAGTAGTAATCTGGCTATGAATGTTACAATCCAATTGTTTACTCGATTAGATTGGGCTGTACAGCAATGACACTAAGGGCTTGTTCACACCAGCGTTCAACCGCACGGCTGCTGGAGTGCGTGTGCCCGTACAGTGCCGATGCGCTCGATCAAATTGCATTGCACTGTTTCTTTTTTTGTTGTTAGAACTTTATTAAAATGTGACAAGTGATATGTGTTCGCTCACCTACCCATCTACTGAGCCGACCTGTGACAGTCTCATTGTCACAGGCCGGCTAGAACTATGAGGTGAGTGAAAAGCACTCACCTCATAGTTCTCCTTTAAGTTCTAGGGGCCCACCCATGTGCGGTGTGGTTGTACCGCGTCTCACTGTGGTGTGCTTAAATAAAGTACTGCATGCCATACTTTTTTTTTTTAAGAGCACACCACCAGAACGCAGTGGTGTGAACTGTCACCATTCATAACAAGGCAGAAGGACAGTCCATACACCTTCACCGCACGTAAGAAGCAGAAGTGCGGGTTTATGGTGTGGCTGAGGAAAAGAGGGTGGAGCTCTGAGGGGCAGACTGCCCGGGAGGAGCTCTGCTGGGTGCCTATTTGATTAGTGTCAGAAGACTGCCATATTGAAATCCAGGGCCGCACGACATGGAATTTATATTAACAGCATTGATAATTCTAAAATTCTGGTCCTTGCCAAAAGACCCTCATATGGTGTACTGCCTTTTGAGAAATGTTAAAACCTGCTATTGAGGACGACCTGTCAGCTTACAACAGCACTGGACAAATCCCAGGAGCCAGGTAGCCAATGTTCCTTAAAAATGAGAGCTGGATCCTAATGTTTATCTAGTTCCTGTCAATGGAGCTTGCTCCTGAAAAAATCCTTCTGGCTCCTGAATTGGATAGACCGGCTACTGAGGTCCATAATAATTTGTCCTCCCCTGGGTTAAAAGGTACAGAAACTACAATTTATTATTCTTTGTTAAAGTGAACCTTGCATGAAAATTGTCTGCTTTACTGACCCCCTTCCAATAAGAACCACCATAAGAAAGGGAAGCTAAACCATGTGTATAGGTGCCTTCATACATGTTCTAGGGTCAAATTGGACTTCATGTGTCACCTGTATTGACACTAAGGGGTTAAAGCTCATCCTGTCACTGCTATGAATATATCCAACAAAACTAACATTAATTTCTAAGGAACAATATATATTAGGTATGCAGGAATGTTCTCTATTGCAGTGCTACTATAGTAAGAGGCATGTTTATAAAGAAGTGAACGTGGCATGACTAGGGTAGAATGGATGTCCCCAATATTTTTCTAATATAGTCCACTAGGCCCACCACCCCGTCCCTAGAAGGTAATAAAGAGACCACACTCCAGTATGGCTTTAAATTGGCCTTAGCGGCCTTTTATTAAATAATTCAATATGAAATTACTCTTTAATCAAAAAACTTCAACATCAGATAGAATAGGTTGCAGGTCTTTGAAGGCCACACCTTTTTACATTGGGATGCATTTTGAGTGCAGCAGCGTACGGATCAGGTCAGCACACAAAACGGACGTCGTGTGAACAGGCCCTTAGTGTCATTTTAAAAGTCAGAAATATGCACATCTATACAATAGAGGTGTGGCATCCAATATATGGAAGCCTAAGGCTGGGTTCACACCTAGGCGTATCGAATATGCGCGTTTGTCGCGCGTTTCGTGACGCGTGTTTTTCCCGCGATTCGCGTTAAAAAAACGCGCGACAAGCGTGCGTTTCCGAGGGCTACTTGACTGTATCCCAATGGAAACGCGTGACAAAACGCCCCAAAGAAGCTCCTGTACTTCTTTGGGCGTAGGGCGTTTTGTAGGGCGTTCATACGGCCTGTAATACGACCAGGTGTGAACCATACCCATAGGAAGTAATGGGATTTCAGTGTTTGAGCGTTTTGCTGAGCGTTCGAACGCGCTACAAAACGTCCAGGTGTGAACCAGGCCTAAGTGTTCAAAATTCCAGAGAGTAAACATCTGCTATTTGCTAATGTGTACTCACAATCACAACAATCAAAGACACATAATATTAGATTTCATTATGGATCATCGTCCAAAAATGTCACTGAGGTTGACAGTGCAAGGAGAGTAACATAGCAGCCAATCAGGGACCGTTTTTAATTGTCCTGACTGCTCTAAACCAGCGAGGAGAAATTGGATTTGACATAAACAGAGCAATTTACTAGCAATTACTGTATAACCAGCTTTCTATATCAAAGACAAATAAAAGGATCAATGTAACATCAAAGCCCAACTCCAGGTTAGACACACCTTCCACCTGGAGCCCCCCCCCCCCCATTTTTTGAGCTGTTGTTTGCCCAGTGACATGATGTTCCGGGCACCTCTTCCTCTGGTATACGGTCCTTAATGTAGAGAACAGCACTCACATAATGATGTTGGAGATGTTCTCCTTACCCTTCTCCTTTGGGCCCAGGAGGCGTGTCCTTGACTCTCTGGGCTCACAGGAAGTCATTCAACCTGGAAGAGGCACTACAACTGTGAAAGTATATGGAACGCACGGAGAGGGCGAGTACTCCTACAAGCCTTTTTTTTATGCTGGACTAGTAGGCTGGAAGGGATTTTAGCTTTTAAATGTAGCAGAGTTGGACTCTAATATACAGTAAAGTTGTCGGTAGGTTGCC